TAAAATAAGCAAGATACAAGCTAAAACTATCAGAACACAAGCTAAAATAAGCAGAACACAAGCTAAAACAATAGGAACACAAGCTAAAACGAGCAGAACACAAGCTAAAATAAGCAGAACACAAGCTAAAACTTTAAGAACACAAGAAAAAAATAAGCAGGATACAGGCTAAAATGAGCAGAACACAAGATAAAATAAGCCCGAAAAGTCACATTGCTCCAGGTTTCTTGCAGTTCACAGCACTTCCTCTGTCATCTATGGGAGGAGTATTAAACCACTAATCTTCCACTCCTCCCTGGTATTCTACTGTATTACTGGTATTAACGCTCCAAGAGGCCAAAACAGCTAAAACAATTTAGGGAAGTCATTGGTCATCAAGAAGGAAGTTTCTGCTGCTCTCACCGAGGGTTTTTCAGTTTATTTATCCTGCAGAACGACCAGCAGCTATCAGGATTTCCTGCATGGTGGGGATGAGGATGTGGATCAGCAGGATTACTGACAGCGCTTGTTTGATTCCTGACAGCCTGGTGGAGGAGGAATTTCTCAGGAAGAGGAGGCTGTAGTTACATTTCCTTTAAAGGAAGGGAGCAGGGCTAATGAGGAGGTCCGGCCTGCAGTGACTCAGCTGGAAACTCCGAGGGCTTTTCTCCCTTTGTACTACTGATACGAAACCATTCTGTGAGGTCATCAGTGTAGTTCATGAAAGGCAGACCACCGTGAAGCCTCGTCATTTCTCTGTCTTTTCTCAGGAAATCATTGCAACTTATTATCTTTTATCCTGATTCTTGAACAGGATCACACATTAAAAAAAAAAAAGTTATGACAACAGGAAGTGGGCAGATGAGGTGTCTTCAGTCCACCACAGATCTGAGAAGAGGTAAGATGGTATAAGCGTTTGAACCCTGAATGCAGGCATCTTTAAATACAAACTATTTATTTAATGAATAAAACGAAGAGCTGTCGAGGCAGCACAACTACTTAAATGCAACACTGCTACTCAAAGAGGTGAAGCTGAGACAAACCATAAGTGGCTGTGAACAGCACACTGCAAAACTGAACCACAAAGTGTGGAGCAATCATGTAGAGACACTGAATAATGTGAACAGCATACACCTGGCAGGGAGACAGCAGGATCAGGTGAGAGTGGGAGGAGCCAGAGGTAAAACAAAATACAAGAGTCACAGAAAAGCTGAATGAATGATCCTAACAGATGCATCCAGAAGACAAAGGTTCATGCAGTATTCCCATTTTGAATTGTTTCTGATCCGTCTTTACTTTGCAGGATGGAGAACACAATGAGATACGACACAATTTGGAAAAGTACGGTATGAAACATGGCAGCATGGCATGAACTAAAGTTCATGAGGTTCTCCTCAGGTTGTGAGGAGAACACAAGTCACATTAGCACCAGCAAACTGTTTTTTTTTTTTTTTTTGTTCAAATATGGAGAATGGTGTCTGTGGGAATCAGTTTTGTTTGGTGGCTTCTCGGACTGAGGAAGTCCTTTGAATGAAGGACGAAACATCTCAACAAAAAAAGAAACCGTCCAGATAACCTGAATGAACATTGTTGGATTTTAAACCTGGATTATTGAGCATGAACTTTGGTATAAGGGCATTACATTCACATACGTAACTGAGTGTTGGAAAAAGAAAACGTTTTCTTTTCATTTCATTTACCCTTTATTTATACAGGTAGTCTCATTGAGTCACGAGAACTCATTTTCAAGAGAGACCTGTTTTTGGGAGCAAATGGTGGACCTCCTCCAGGGCCCAGAGTGGGGCAAATGAGAGTGGAGGCAGGTGTGGATGTTTCACTGGACCCGGGAGTTGAACCTGTGACTTTCCAATCACAGGTCCATCTTCTCTAATCTCTGCGCCACCACTCCCCTATGTGTATATAATGTAGATATTGCCTAAATAAAAATACAGCTGCCATATAAGTACTTTTTCACCCTTCAGCACATTTGAATATTTGTCCATTTGCAAGAAAACACTGCTCAGAAACTAATTAGGGCTTTCAGACTCATCCCATTCATCTAACATCTAACACCTTTGCTATGTAGGAACAAAAGTTCATCTATATTTTCTGGACTGAGGGTGGAATGCCTCGCCTCAGTCAGTCTCCCAGCAACACTGAGACCACGCTCAGAAGGAGTGCTTGTTGCTGGGACTGCTAGCAGCCTCTTGGCAACTGGAACTAGCTCACCTGACCTCTCCTGCCACAAGCTGAGAAGAGACGGGAAGCCTTTCAACTTACAGTCGTATTGTAGCACCAACTGGCGGCCCCATGGCTTCGTGTCGCAACTGTCCTTCCCCCTCTCCTCCTCTTTAACACAACTCCTGCAACCTGAACACCTTGCAACCACAAGTTGTCCACCTTGATTTCTTTAAGGGGTTTCAAACATTTGATAATGCCAATACAAAAATCAAAGCAAAATATGTTCTTGTTTTTAGTATTTCACCTTGTTTTACGGCACCCTTATTGTTTTATACACTACTCTTATTTTAACTGCATTTTTACAGTAGTTTATTGTTATTATTGTTGTATCTGTACTTTATGTTCAGTCTGGAACAGGTCCAAATGAGTCCTTGTGGCTCAGTGAGACTAACCTGTATAAATAAAGGTTGAATGAAAAGAAAAAGTATATATTCTACACTGTTTTAAGAAATTTTCTATAAAAAAAGTAAACAAACAAAAACTATATATATATATATAATTATTATTATTATATTCTTATAACTATATATACAAAGTATATATATATATTTATTTATTTCCATCCTATGTGTTTATTTATTTATTGCCCTATTGTACATTTGGTTCCTGCTCCTGATAACTTTTTATCCTGTGTCCCAAATCAGGAGTAATGTTAAAAGTTGACTCCCATCCCGCACGAACTTTGTGGGAATCACGTGACCCATGGATTCCTGAAAAAACGTCCTCCTACTAGTTCAGACTGACGTCACACCATAAAAGTTTGTCTCCCTCTTGTGGTGTTTAATATAATCACAGCAAACTGGTTTTGTTTAATTCATTTTTATTTTTAACATTTTTAACAAAAAATAAATAAACAGAAAACACTTTGTGTCCACAAAAGAAATATTTAAACTTAAACGAAAAATATATTTAAACAAAGTGAGGCAAAAAAAAAAAAGTGTATTTCAAAAGTAATACAATTACATTTGTATTTTGTTGTCTGTGCACAGAAAAGTAATACAACAAAATAAACACAACAATAGATTTAGATTTATTGTGTTGGCTTGTTTTGTGAAAATCAACCTAAGTAACAAAAATTAATTAAGTATGAACAGAAACTCAAATAAGAATAAAAACTTCTCAAATGTCTGATAATTATTTTATTTAAATAATATTGAATAAATATTTAAATAAAAGTATGTAAAAAAAACTTATTTAAACATGAAACTATTTTAAAAGCTACATTAATTGTGTCCTTTTGTTTTGAAAGTTTCCCTTTTATGTTGTTCAAAAACAACAACAACAACAACAACAAACACTTAAAACAAGTTAGTCTTTTTTCATTTAGTTCAACTTTGCTAAAAGTAACATAACGGTAGCTAAAAGCTAAATAGCACAAGCTAGCTACAAGTCAAAAGAAACAAAATAGTAGCTAAAGCCAGCCAACCACTGGCTAAAAGCTAGGAATGTGACGAAACAATAAGATATTCAGGTCAAAAGTAACTTTAAATGAAACCAGTTCAGGATGGTTATGAAAGGAGACACAGGGTCAGAGGTCATGGTCATTAGAGCACTAGCTAAAAGCTAAAAAAGGTACAAAATGCTAGTTAAAAGACATTTCAAAAATACAAGCTAGAAGCTAAAATGTACAAAATGGTTCCTTAAAGTTAAAAGCAGCATAAAAGTAAACTTTATGATTGTTAAATAAATGTGAACAAAACAAAAAACTGTGTTTTATCTGCTAAACTGAATGCTTGTTAACCATGCTTACTGCTACTTCCGGTGTCTGACAGGAAGTTGTATCTATAATCATTTATACAGTAGAGCCCCCAGGATTAAGGTGGATATAGAGTGTACCAAGCGGTTAGAGGTAAACCCTTTAAAGCATAATTATTTACTGTAAACTTGGTTAACAAACTGATGAGACAACGAATAATTAATACACAACACTAGCTAAAAGCTAAATGTAGCACAAGAAGACAAAAACAATGTACCTAAGGCAGTTTTTTTAAGTTAAAAGAATTGCAGAGATCTCCATTTCTATGGAGAAAAAAATTAGTAAAAAACATATAAAAGTAAAAAAAAAAAAAAACAGCTATCTGCTGAACGAGCTGAAAGTTTTGATTT